TTTTGCATGCAATAAATTGTTGCGATACTACATCAGCCATTTTTAAGAGAGGTAAAACAGCAGTTTTTAAATTGTTAGAAAAACGTAATGATTTAATTGATTGCGCAGAAATATTTACAAAGATTGACTCTTCTCCACATGACATCGTCAAAAATGGAATTCGTTTTCTTCTTGTAATGTATCATACATTACATAATGGTGCTCCAAAAAAAATTGATTCCATAGACAAGTATAGATATTTAAGGTTTGTAACATCTGTATGGAACAATAAAACAGTGCAGTTGTTTTGTCTGCCTCCAACATCTGCTTCTGCATTTCAAAACACTTGTATCGTGTGTATTATCAAGTTCAAATGTGGCTAGGCAATGAGCTGGACCCAGAAGAATGAGGTTGGAAATTAAGAGATAATTTTTTGGAACCAATTCAAACCCTACTCCCGCCTGCTCCAAAAAAAAACTGCTTAATACTATTTTTTGAACCTGCAAGACGGATTGTAGTAAGAATTGTGGCTGTCAAAAAGTGGGATTATTTTGTTCGCCAGTATGTATCAATTGTCAGGGTCAGACTTGCTCTAATATTGAATCAAATCCAACAGATGATAATACTTATGATATCAATGAAGAGACAACTGATCCATCTCTTTTCTTAGAACGGCGTACAGAAATTCTGCAAGGAGAAGAAGAAGAAAGTGAAGATGAAGAAATAATTGTTGAAGTAAATAATAAAACTTAGAAGAAATCAACCTGTTCCACTTTGAACATTAGCAATAGTACGATTCTTTCAATGAATAGGATGCGATCTGTATACTGATCAAATTTTTATTTCTTTATCACACTAGATCGTGGAGTATGCCTACTGGGGAAGCCACGTTAAAAAAATGCGCCAAGTACCTTACCTCATAGGTGGTGCGGAAATGTGTGCATATTTTGAAGAAAATGACTTTTTCAACTCTTAAAATCGCAATATCTCATGAATGGTGATTCGTACGAAGAAAAGTATTGAAACAATTTTTGTAGAGAATTGTATGATCTACAATTTTTGTCTGACCTATTTTTACGATAAAACTTACGGTTTCAGAAAAAAATGGGAAAAACCTGAATTTTTGACCTTTGACCTTGGATAAAATTGTTTGCAGAAGTAGGATCGAAGGGGATTTTTGACATTTCATTTGTAATGGTTTATTTAACGTCTATACCAATTTTCAGCTCTATGCGAATTTTGGCTAAGTTAAATACCTATTTTGACTGGACTATTAAATCTACGCTAACTTGTGAATTTAAACATGTAAAGAGAGAGATAAATAAATTTTACTTTCTTTGATTTAACTAAATATGCCGAGCGCGACACTTGTTCACGAGAAAACCACGGGACAGTTAAATAAATGCAAAAATGAATAGTCAGTCTTTAAGTACAGCTAAACGTTGGGAAATTAGTACCATAAATCCGCTAAAATACAGTGAGATTATTAAAATGAAAGGCGAGGTTTCCAAACACTATGGCAAAATAATCAGAGAACGGAATAATATTTAAATGGCAATAAATTCAAAATTAAATTATCGACTGCAAGAAAATCAAATTAAAATGGTTTCAATGCGGAAACCTCCCAAAAACTCATCTAAAATATCCGTGTTGCGAACGAAGGGGTTGAATCCGCAAATTAAGGAAACGTTGGAATTATTATCATAAAAAAACGATCGGTTAAATTATCGAAAAATCCTTCCCGACGACCAACGCTAAAAATTCCTTTCGCCCCGGCGCTATCTGTGCACACCAAACGTATCGAAGACCCCCCCTCCGACTAAAACGCATAAATTAAACGCTTCATACGTACGACCGAACTCGAGAACACATTGTGGAAAAAATGAAAGCAAGATAAATTAAGAATGACTAAAGGCACACTTACACAGACGCAGCATCGAAAATTTTCTATCTTCTTCTCGGGTTCAGCAAACTTTTCTAAGTTCGGATTTCTTCAAAATTCAGCAAAAATAGTAAAAAAAAAAACGGTACGAAAATGGACATAGTCTTCGACCGCAACTCGTAACTTGAATGAATATCACTTCCGACGCTACTTGTCTCCTGCGACGTTAGGAAATCATATTTCTTCGTGATTTATCTGTTACTCGGAACGCGACTTTTGGGTTTAATTTCATTTGATTATGGTTTCGTTTCTGTCGTTTTTATGCAATTACTGTGTCGTATATGATCGGGTTTTTTTCAACTTGCGTCATGGTTCCCATGTGTCTGCGTTTCGTTTGCAGTTGTTTTAGTTTGGATACAATTTCGGATGAAAGTAACTTCGATTGGGATTTTTATGGTGTACGGTTCTGTACATGTTGTTTGCAATGTCTGACAAGCGCAATGATATTTGCAATTTGCGAATATGCGAATTTTGTTCCTACGTTGGGGCATTGGTGGTTGAGTTTGATTATCTATTTGAATGGCACTATATGCAGATTAGGACATGCGTGTTAAGTAATTAAGATTTGCAAATTTTTGGGTTATGTTTTGGAAATTTGTTATTCGTCTTTTTGTTACAATTTTCTCGTGAACGAATTTACTGACGGCTCGTCACACCACTTTGCATATGAATGCATCCCAACATAAAACGTAGGTTTTCATTTTGTTGATGATCATAGTTAAGGGTTCATTTTGAATTTTTCGCGGCTTTAAAACTTGTTCATATGTCTAATTTTGGCGGGATTTTTAGGGTAACATGAGATTCATAAAATTTTCAGGAGGTAATGTTATGCAGTTTCTAAGCGAATGTTATAATTTTAATAAATTTTAAATTCTTATGTAATAATGTTTAAGACAAACTGTACAAGTCAGAGGTAAAGAATGGGTGTGTGAGTGGCACATTTAAAGGTAGCTGTATCAGGCAGGTTTAAATTTAGTTTTGCTTGAACCTCTTACGGTTTTAAAACAAGTTCGATTATGACCCACTTTACACAATCCTGCTTTCAAGTGAGATTTTTTTAACAATATCTTGAGACTATTATCAATTTTTCAGAATGAAAACTTTAACTTTACAATTTAATTGTGGTGCTTGATGCCTAAGAATGGTTCAGCTATGCCATTTCAAATAGTTCCTAAATAATTTCAGCAAAACAAAAACATGTTTAATCAATAAACACTTTAATATATAATTGAAAAGCAAACAAAAGTGGAAACAAACAATTTTACAACCTAAACGGCACGGTTTAGTACTATATAAATAGATTAGCGGCTCGAAAACAAATCAAAATAAGTAAATTACTTTGGGGGGAGGTAAAGGGGTAAACAGAGTTCAGAGTCCCTTTAACTAGTTGTGCCATAGTGCTGGTGCTGTTAAAAATAGAGTAAGTGTTGAAAATGTTATCGTTTCTGTTTTTGTTTGTTCAATTTAAACTGACATAGTTGACGAAATGCGTTCGGAGAAACATCTAAGAGAAATATGTATTTCAAATGCTACAGATATCTGTAATAAATTTCTATTTCGATTAAACAGCTTTTTTGTAGTAGACTGGTAGTAGTATGTAATAGTATACATATATGTTTTAATTTGTTTCTACAAAATTTGTGATTCGTATAAAATTATACTCGTTTTCAAAATTCCATTCAATTATTTGAATAATGAATTTTGTAAAAAAAAATACATCAGTTGTTACACCTCTCTGATAAAACTCCGTGGCTCCATGTCCTGAAAACGGACAGAGATATTGAAATACTCTAAATGCCATTATTTTTAGTTTATGACCTATATACACATGGCAAACTTATATTTTTTAAATTGCAAAGTATATAATTGTCAAATGATTTTGACAGCTCCGTTAAATTACGATTACAATGTTTTCATATTAAAATGGTTTTCAGAATTAATATTCAACCATTTTCGATTGATAGCAAAGAAATATTGTAGTAGTTGCGATAACCCAAACTTCCCGCCTTAAATTGACACTTGAAAAAAAAGTTTGAAAGGCCCGCGAAAAATTAAAAAATTCAAAATTTGGCCTTGGCTGTGATCGCCTATACCTCTACACCACGTTCTAATACCTACATTAAATCTCCCATATACACAATGTGCAAACTTTATAATAAGGAATTTTGTATTATTGATATATTTCAGTTTAATAATTTAAAATTTAAAAAATTAATCATTCATCATTGTTATGCAAAATTAAATGTTTAGCACTGTTTTCTCACCTTGTTTTTTAACATTACAATGGTTTGTTATCTTTTTTTGTCCTTGCTTTTATTACATTTATATGAGTAAATTTTGTTTGGTTTAGAATGCTAATTATTTTGTTCTTTTGTATTAATATCGTTGAACTGTAATTGCTGCGACTGCTAATAATAATTTTGTCCTTTTTATTACATTTATATAAGTATAATTTTGTTCGGTTTAAAATGCTAATCATTTTGTTCTTTTGTATTAATTTTGTTGCTCTGTAATTCGTTTGGTAAAAACTGTTGAGCAATAAACGCTATTATTATTATTATTATTATTATTATTATTAAAATGGAACCTACGTTGTGTTAATTAATTTCGGCGCGACAATTTGATTCAAATTCGGGCACCACATAGAGTAAAATTTTGTACGTTCATGTAATAAATTAAGCTTGGTCCTTCAAACTAAAAATAATGTCGTTTACAAAATTTTAATATTTCTATCCGCCCTCAATCTATAAATTTGTGGAGTTTTATCTGAGACATACAATTATACATATTGGTATTATAAAAAAATATTTTATCGTAAAAAATTTGAATTGATACACTGCGGTAGACAAACTTGATAGGACTGTATCCAGATTGTAGGTAGTATTACAAAACCGCTAAAATGTCGTACGTAGAGGTAAGTTTAAATGATCCTTGTGTTTAAAAGATGACGGAAAAGTTGGCGAAAATTATCACAGCGCAGTAGGTGTTTGTAGTTTGTAAATAACTTCAGGCTGCGTTGAGACTCTACATAAACTTATAATTGAATTATTCAAGTATTGGTGGGAGAAATAAAGGAACATTTTAAAAACATGAATTTATTTATCAACCATTTCACAAACGATGAGTACTCATGTTGAACTCAGATATTAAGCGTAACAATAGGGCGATCGTCACCCTTTGTCTGTATACCTCCCTAATGTCATTCTCTAAGCAGTCTTATTGAAACACATCATATATTAACCCTGTTAGTTCAACTGTATGGTCCTAGTTTGAAATAATATTGTTAGTTACACCGAGATGTACATCTTTCAGTATCTTGAAGTTTGTTTGACGGATGTTGCGTTTAGGGTACATTTTAACACATACACTTATGTGAAATCCAGTAAATAGGTAAATATAGTTTAAAATGTCTATGAGTCCGTGGTCTTTTAATGGTCATTTAATATTGATCCCAATGACACCAGAAAAGTGGATGTGTTAATGTAGTACGTTTGAAGGAGAAACAGACTATTGTTCGCTAAAGAAACTTAATTATGATTTTTCTATGTACTAAAGTACACTCCGTTACCTCATAAAGAACCTATGCACCTACGAATATTTGCAGAGTCAACGTAAATCCCTTATCAAGTCATGGAATTTTGATTATTACGTCTGCAACAACCTACTACGATACATACAGTATACAGCACATTATAAAATGAACCACATTCAACAGTTATTACAGAGTAATGTTGCAATAGGGTATGGTATACTAAAAATGCAACGTTTGCAAAGATCAATCATCGAATATTGTCGTCAAATAAAAATAATTTAAGCGAAGAAAGAAATGTACAAAAACATATTGTCAATAATTAGTAACGCTTCCCGATCTTTGCAAAGGTCTATTGAATACACTATATTATATGCTATATAAAAAAGAAAACACAGAGTAAACATCCTGTCGGGGTTTGCAACAGTCGTTTCATTACAAATATAATATATATCAAGAAAGTTGATTTTAGTTTAAAGTTTATATATCAAATAATCACTAAGATTGCACCACATTCGAAATCAGTAACAAACTTAACAACACTAAAACTAAAATACTTTTTTATAAGGTACCTAGAAATTGTACATTGTGAACTAAGTATTAAATAGATGAATATGCGCAACCGTAGTGTAAAATAAATTACTATCTACAGCTAATTTCTACTATCAGGAAGAATTAACTATCGTCACATACACTGCGCATGTAAAACATAAAAATTCTAACAATCATAGTGACAACTAGAACATTTATGATTATTTGGCTTGTTTGATGATTATAAATAATGAGCTAACTAGTGAAGATGGATGTCAGTCAGTGAATGTTGGTCCTTATTGCACATTGGACGGTGATGTCCAGAGCCCTATTGGCGATAGAGGCAACCGTCAAAACACTTGAAAATAAAATCACAGTTAGTTTTAGTTTCGCCGCTCATTAAATACTAATGTTCGCGGAGGATTGCAGGCGCAAATCGCTCCTCATTTCATCATCTATGTGTGTAGTAGTCACAATCTGAGGTTACCTGCAAGTTTAAAATTGGATCGCAAAAACATGTATTCAAAATGGACCTTTTCAAAATGTTCAAATCTGATACTCTAACTTACACTAAATCAAACAAGTTTTGAAAAAATCCATACGTTTTAGTAATTAATTCAGCACGTCTAATTAAAAAGCATGTTTACATATGAACTAATGTGAACTCATGAGTGTATCATACTTCATTATATCCACTCTCTCTCTATCATACACTTTTCTATTTTTCATAATTAGCCATTATAAATTAACCATGAAATGTTGATCTCTTGATAAAAAAAGTTTTCATTGAAGATTTTCATAATTACTTTTTTCCCAAATTCAGAAGCAGTGTTTTCAATTTTGAGTATAAGATCATCATTGCGTTTGTTTTAGCAAGTACTGTTTAATACCAACAGGCTCGCTGAAATCACAAAAACAAAAAAAAGTTAGTCTAAAAAAAAACTGTTTCCGGAGCGACGGAAATCCCTATTCTTTTTTTTCTCAAAAATTTTCCGATATTTTGCGTATTCATGAGTATCAATTTGTATTTCTGGTAGAAGCAGATCGGACTATATCTGTTTTTCTGTGAAACAAAAAACAAAAACTTTTATCACAACATATTTGAAAAAACAACAGTATCTAAGAATTTATACGTTTTCTAGAAAACAAAGATATGAGATTATTTTTCACTCTGTCCTATGGGATGTATAGACCAACGAAACCACGTATGTTCTATAAATCCTTTTTTCGCACATCAAATTTAGGGTTTCAATAATTATAGTATTTTGGACCTTAAAAACGACGGTAGGTGTGAAAATGTACAGTTCAGGAATATTTATAACAAGAAAAAATGGCAGTATTTTTTACGGAAAAACAACGTATTCACAAATTGAGTTAACTGAATTATTACATGTGAAGTGAAGAGAGTGGATCATGTTAATATAATTGATTTGTATCTAAAATTTTTAAACAAAATATGTGCATAAAGATAGCTGCTAGCATTAAATTAAGCATAAATAAATAAATTAACAATAACAATAATAAAAACAAATGATGACGAAATGCCGTTTTTTACAGATTTTTGGGTCACTTGTTATAGTTTCTGGTTCCAATAGGTTTAAGTATTTATTCGATTAAAATATGTAATTACTGTAAAATTTTATAATCAGAAACAAGACACTACACGTATTGTATCACAATTATTATTATTTCGAAAATTTTCGGATACTGTAGCTAAAGCTGGCCACTATTATAGAAACTGCTGGAATTTTCAGGCGTAAGGAATTATCTCATTTGCTTAGGAAAACAATAAAGTAGAGGGGAAACTTTGTCCAAGTTCAGATACAAGACGTTAAATTAAAGACTAACGCCTAAAATAACGCAAACTTGCTAGAACTTATTGTTTGCAAAATATGTTAATTCTCTTCTAAAACTGATCATATTATCTTGTGTTTTACTGAAACAGAAAGGTTACTTTTGTAACTGATCCGTATATTAATGTTGATATCTTCAGATTTATAATACAGAATGAAATTTGTTCGTTCATGATCAATACATCGTGCACGTCAGCTATGTTTAAACGGTTTCATATCCGAGCCAGTTTATATTAATTTCTGTCTCTTTTAAATGAAGTAAAAATATTTCTTGCAGTTTATGCATGCCATCCAGTGAGTAAAGATTTCGAAAAATTTCGTTATGTACCTACCTGCTTTCTAATAAGAAAAGCTGTAAATTTTACTGTATAAATTTAATTCTTTTTATAAAAAAGCTAAAAAAAAGATATACAGTAGTACGTGGGTGGTTCTCATATTTCGAGTGAAATTAACTCAAGAGACTTCTGAAACTTAATTTTTTGAATATATATATAAACATAACAATAACAAAGTATTTTACCAAAGCATAAACAAAACTGTGTCTTGGGGTTTATTTTTTAATAAATATTCATTTAATACCTTTTAAGATTGCGTCATTAAATGTCTGGAAGGGGAACTATTTGTAAAAATTGTAACAATTATGTTGTCAGTAGAGACTAGTCGGCTTTGTCAAAACCGGTTAAAATTAGTTTAATCGACCGAAAATTGATGTCAAAGTGTAGATAATCTTCCGCTAGTTACGATTCTGAAATCGCCGTCACGATATATGGTCCAATAAACACGCAAAGCGAATTCAAAATTTCCAAAAATTTTCCAAAAAAGTGGTTAAAATTGGTTAAGTATTGTATAAACTGCCCTAAATTGTGTTATTCTTTATTTTTGTACTGAGTTACTACAAAAAATTAAATGTTAAAATTATCCAAAAAAATTTAACACATTTTTTTGAAAAAAAAAGAAACTTCAGTTATTCCTTTTATTAAAATAAAACAAGTTTTTAAGGTAGTCAGAGAAATAGAAAAAAAAACCCACTGTCTGTTGCATTTATAAACAGTCGGCCGACTGTAGTCGGTACATCTCTAGTTGTCAGTGATTTCGATTATTGTAAATAGATTTTACGGTATGAAATTCCTCCATAAATTATGATACAATTTAATGACCATAGGTTCGCAATGTTTTGAATTAAATGCGATTATCGCTTTAGTGCTGTAATAAAAGTTATTATTTAACTTCAGTGAATGACATAACTGGCTGAAACGACCGTAAAACGACTATACCTATTTATCTTGTTGCTAATTTATAAAGAAGGTAAAATTTATGTCGTTCATAAATCGACACTAACACTTTCCAATGTGCTCGCTATTTGTTAAAAATGTCAAAACTTATTCTTTATGTCAAAAAGTAAATTGAAAAGTTGGCAAAGTTTCCATTGGCGCTTTTAATCAAAACAGTGATTGTTCTTGGAAACTATTTGTAAAATGCAATACAGTTTTCCACTATAATAACAAATACTGACTTATTTATCATTTATGCACATATTTTGATCAACGCACTATTGTGCTTAGTTTCACTCTAGAATGCCTCCGACTTGAACAAGTTCAATGGAATAGTACCTCTTTTACTGAAATTCAAAGAATTTATTTAACTTATGAAAAAAATGGACTGCATTTTTGTATAATTATGCGGGTAATGTGAATAAACCTCATTTATTTTGATAAGCTGACGTAACTAAGTATACGTAAATTTAAAAAACCGTACTTCACATATATTAAGTTAAAGAAGCGTCATAGAATAAGATAGTTACATTTTGTACGTGTGAGATTCTGTAAACGTCATTGTTTTTAGTTTGCAGAGAAAAGCTTAACTTAGTACATTCCAAATATGACGCATACACGGCGATACTTTTTTAAAATGCGACGTATATTTCTTTAGGGATTTTGATACATTGCAATTACAATAGCACTTTGATATAAAAAAATATAACACTTATAAACATGAAAAAATTAAAGTTGACTGAAATAAACCACTCACAGTGGTTTTATAATCAGCAAAATCTGTTTCAAAAACTTTATTTCACTCAATTTTTATTTTTATAGGTTTATAAATTTATTTGATATATTTATTTAACATAGTAATCGTAGTCCACCGGTCTATCAAAATCAATTAAAGATATATATGTTGCTATTTAAAAAAATATAGATATGCGTTGCGGCGCCGACGCCATATATACGTCGTATTTGCAATATACTAAACTAAGCTTTCCCCTTCAAGCTAAAAACAATGGCGTTTACAGAACTTTAATATCTCTGTGATTTTTTGAATTGTGATTTAGTTTTCGCTGCCCATTATGTCATCAAATTACGTAGGTCGTTGCTTAGAACATACAACTTGCTTTGTTTTTTCGCAAATTCATTTCGCTTATTGTTTTAGCAATCTTCGAGAAAAATCAGTTTTTTTAAGTCTACATCTTTATTTGAGAGTGAATCAAAATTCGTCTCCTGAGAACTTGTTTGATCTACAGACCAGAGCCCGCTCAAGCCAGTGTCGACTCTAAGCGTTAAGAAGCAATTTGTTGGTTGGTTTGGACTATAATTTCTGCGGCAAATAGTTGTTTATAACGAATAAGTGAACATTTTTGATACATATTTAGATGCTTTTATTTACAAATATCACCTGTCATATGTTTCACTCGTTTTTGACATGCAACTATTTTTTTATTTACCTAAGAATTAATTCTTTAATTGTGTTTTATACCAGCAAAACGTCTTAAATTAACAATATTGTTAAAATCGTAATAACCCAATGGGTTTTTTTATGCTTTGGAAACATTGTGTTCTACTTTGTATGAATTTCTAAATGTTTTTAGTAACAATTTTTATGGTTATTTTCGATACATTATATGATATTAACACTGAGAAAAATTAAAATAATTGAAAATTTGAAAAATCGAAAACTTGAAAAACCGAGAAATCTAAAAATTGAAAAATTATAAAAATTAAAAAATTAATAAACCACGATGTAAAGAAATCGAAAAACGTAAAATTTAAAAAAATGAAAAATAGAAATATCGAGGAACTGAAAATCGAAAAATCGAAACATCAAAAAATCGAAAAAATTAAAAATTCAAGAATTTAAAAAATCGAAAAACTGAAAAATCCGAGAAACTGAACAATCAAAACACGAAAATTCAAATCTCAATAAAATAAAAAAATTGAAATATTGATAAATCGAAAGATCAAAATATCGAGGAATCGAAAAGACATGAAGTCGAAAAATTGAGAAATCGAAACAGACCAAAATCGAATAAACGAAATGTTAAAGTTGACAATTGGAAATTCGGAAAATCTAAAAGCGGAAAAATAAAAAAAACGAAAAAACGGAAAAACTGAGAAACTGAAATAGGCCAAAAAAAAATCGAAAAGTTATAAATTGAAAAACTGATAAATCGAGAAACTGAACAATTAAAATATCGAAACATCCAAACCTCGATAAATCGGGAAATCAAATCAGTGAAAACTCGAAAAATTTTAAAAATGAAAAATTAAAAAATCGAAAATTTGAAAAGATGAAAAATTGAAAAACAGAAAATTCGAAAGATTAAGAAATCGAAACATTTAAGAAATTCGAAAACTTGAAAAACTGAAACATCGAAGAACTGAAATGAAAAATCGAGAAACTGAAAAATCCAAAATTTTACAAACGGAAAAATTAACAAATCAAAAAAGTAAAAAAATCGACACATCCAAAAATCTGGAAGCCAAAAATTGAAAAGTCGAAGAATCGAAATATTGAAAAATCCCAAAACTGAAATAGCGAAAAATTGAAAAATGAAAGAAAAACTGAAGAATGGAAAAACTGAAAAAATTCAAAACTAAAATCAAAAACTGCGAAATTAAAAAACTGAAAAAATGGGAAATCAAAAAGTCAAAAAAGTGAAGTCGAAAAATCAAAACATTAAAAGATTGAAAAACTGAGAAATCAAAAACCTAAAAAATTGAAAAATTGTAAAATCGAAAAATTGAAAAATGAAAGATACCAAAAGTGAATTATAGAACAACTGGGAATCTAAAAAACTGAGAAATCAAAAACCTAAAAAATCGAAAAATTGAACAACTGAAGAACTGGAAAATCGAAACATTTGGAAGTCAAGAAATGGGAAAATCAAAACATCGATCGATTAATAATTGAAAAATCGAAATATTCAAAAATAGTAAAATTTAAAAAACGTAAAACTGGAACATCGGAAAATTGGGAAATCGAAAAATTGAATAATAAATAACTTGAAAAATCTCAAAACTGAAATATCCAGAAATTGAGAAATTAAAAAATGGAAAAACTAGAAAATCAAAAAGGCACAAAAGTGATGTCGAAAACTCAAATCTTTAAAAATCGAATAATTGAAGAAATAAAAAATCGGGACGCTGAGACATTATAAAAGTCAAATTTAAAAAACTGCAAAAGGCAAATATGTAAAAATCGAAAATTGAAGAGGAGAAAAATTGGAAAAACGTAAAATTGAAACATCGGAAAACTGAGAAATTGTAAAATCCAAAAATTTACTAACAAATAAACTGAAAAAACCCAAAAGTGAAATACCGAAAATTGAAAAAACAAAAACCTAAAAAATCTAAAAATTGAACAATTGAAGAATTGGAAAATGGAAACAGTCGAAAGTCAAAAAATGGGAAAATCAAAACGTCGATCGATTAACAATCGAAATGTTTAATCAGATTTTTTCTGACATTTTAAAGTATACGGAGTTCTCTAATAATGAAACTTATTTTTAGAGGAAACTTTTAAGCTTCATACAGGGCGTTCAAAAAATTACGTACCAACCCAACAGAGCATTATTAAGATCACCAGTCTAAGTTCGAGAAAAATCATTACAAAAATCCAACGTCAATTTGACGTTCACTTACAAAAACAAAATATTGTTACGTTGATCGGTAATAATAATTAAAATGGACGTGAGTAAAACTCTACAATCTGTTTGCAAGCAATATAGCGATTATGTACAATATAATTCCGATTCAGCTTAACTCGTACCATCGAATGGAATGAATTTGGCTAGAGTTTAATTCTCCCATTGACTGGATTAGACTGACCGTTCCCGAGACGGTGGTTCCTATTTAAATAGCCACCGCTTGTTCTGGAGCGCCCATCGCGACTTCCGCTTCCAGGCTTTTCTTTAGCCGAACGCCGCCGTCGGTGATGATGAGTCACCACCGCTTATCATACTGGGTTTATTTCGTAACTACATTGATTTAGATAGACCGATCAAAAAACGTGAAAAATTAGCCACTGTTGTTAGATTCATCCTAAACAAGTTTTAAGTTCTTGTTACATTATACAATGAAGAATACAATGGATAAAGACAAGATACCTCAAAAATTACTTTGAATAATGAAAGTTCGACCCAAGACAAAATAGTAAATTAAAATACACTGAATTTTCGAGAAGAAAAATTAAAGTTTGAAGGGCTGTATCTTCTACAGTTGGACAAAAGAAATTTTAAAATTGTTTTTTCTCTCAGCTCCATAAACCGTGCTGAACAACGTGCTATAGAGTTTGTGCTCAATTTTTTGAACATTTATAAGTATTTTTATATATCTTCACCAAACAGCCAAACGGTTTTGGAGACTTTTGGTACATATATATTTCTCAAATTTACGTTTAATTTTTCTTGGCTAATAATAAGTATATCACGCTTCGTAAAAAGTTAAAATTTTAGTTTCGATTCTACGGTAGTCTTTGTAACTATTGCCGGTATTGAACCAACTTTCATTTATGAGACGATCTGATACCGAGGTTATGTTGTAAACATGAAGTAGCTATAAAATGTAATCATAGTAGATTTACGATTGTAATAAATTTGAAACGCAACTTTAAAAAATGCAACCATTCTGCTTGAATTAACGAGACGTCAGCTTATACAGATAAATGAGTTACATGATTTAGTAGCAATTTACTTCATCATACGTCCGTTTAAGAAATGTTGCTGATGTTTTATGAACACTAGTCCATTGAAATATTCGCAATATAAAGCCCATCGTAAAATCATGCATGCGACTTCAGCAGCTTAAATCTTGTGATTCTATTCTGAGTACATGAAGAAGCGATTTGTGACCAGACGTCAGAACTCCATAAAAGGCGCAATCAATTCAATATAAAAATGAAGTTATTGCAAAGCACACCGATTTCAGCTTGTCTCAAAAGAAACGGCGTTGTGAGTAAATATCGCAACACAAAATGAAAACAAAGAGCGATCGCCTTCAATAAAATAGCAGATAAGCAGTTCTTACCGGAGTGTCCAACAGTCAGAACTTCAATAGGCAGTGATCCTCTTCGCCGAGCCAGCAGCGCATCAGGATTTTCAGGTCTACGCAGTAGCAATCGTGTCCACCCTTCCGAATGTGATTCCGGCAAGCAGACGGTTTCAGGTCCTCCGGAACTGCGCCTGCGCAATTGCTTCTTCCGTCGACCCGACTTGCCGTTGAGACTAGTGTGGCGGGTGAGTAACTGTTCGCGCCTCTCTGCACCCGCGGGTGGCAAATCTATAGGGGCTGAACCTCGCCGCTGATATTGCCAAAACGTCCGGTTTGTTTCTACTGGAGTTATGTTTATTACTTGTTCTACATTGTCTTCTGCATAAGAATCGGATGTGGTGTACACTGAAAAAAAATAGCTATAGAGTTTCACGTATCAATAATTATTGTCTATTAATCCTAATTATTTTATTAGAATTGTACTTACGATAGTGAGCAATTTCAATTGGCACTGATCCCCTACGCAACGACTGTGATTCAGATATACACACCCCTCCGCCCGCAGAGGAGACATTGTCATCTGGTCCAGTGAGTGGTAGAGAAACTGGAGCTGAACCTCTTCTTCTCGCTAACGACTAAACATAAAAATTTATGAATCCTTCATTAAAATTTATTTAAGAAATTACCGCAGTCGCAAGTCTTCTCGGATCCACATTTTCCTTTTCATATCTTTGTCCGGGATCAGATAACTTAACCATCTTACACACTTTTTCCTTATCATTACTCTCCGTCTCTCTTTTGTTGCCTACCAGAGACGGTTTAGGTAATGATTGCGGTTCTTCTGGGATGAGGAAATCAGGCGATCGACTATTATTTGGACTTAATACTGCAATAGATGGTATCGTATAATGTGGCGTACTAATTGATATGTTTTCTTGTGAGCCATGTGATGAGTTGGACCGACTCTCACCTAAAGCATGTTTACGTTGAACGAGCGGAAAGTAACGATAATACCGAATCTGTTACCTTCGTGTACTGTTTCAGTACACGTTGACATTTCAACAGTGGCGGACATGTATCTCATTCGCACGTAAGGCTGTGGCGGTGGGAACGTTTGCTGCCTGGTTAAACATTTGGATGGAGGCGCAACGTTGTTACCTTGTAAAACTGAAGAGAGTCTGCTAGCGGCTGCACTACTTGTCATTGAGGCTATGCTTGGTTCAGGTAACAAATTCTCAGCACTTAAAGGCCTCTCAGGTTGATCTTCAGCTCCTTGAAAAATAAAAACTAATTTTAAAGTCACTTACTGTCCTACTAGGTAACGGACAGTAAGGTATAACAACTATAAAATGCTTTTTTTAGAAACCATATCGTTTTCTTTTCCTAATTAAAATTTACTTTCGCTTCAACAGAATATTCACTCGGAATTACAATCTTTGTCGACTGCCGACATACGGTTGTTGTCATTATTACTTGATCAATGTAGATCTTTGACCGACATTTTTAACAATAACCTATGTGAAAATTTGAAGCCTTGTATCTTAATTACTGTTGTAATCGGGTCCATCAGGCGAACGGCCTAAAGTAGGAAAAAATAGGTCCCCTGTTTTCATCTGTCTGTTGTCTGTTATTAGACGGACAATCTCCAAAATTACTGGACTGATTGTTGTGAAATTATGTAAAGCCGCGACGCATAAAGAAAAAAAACCATGTGACATTTAACCTTGATAAATATGTAGAATATGTAACTATCAAATCACGTTGAGGTTAGCGTTGTTACGACTGTTTTCAAGAACGCAACAATATTGTTCAATCCTCACTTAAAATTATTATCAGCAATTATGATTCATCCGAAGTGTTGGTGAGGAAATAATTCCTGTCTGTCTATTTTTTCCTTTGCATAGAAAATGCTAGTTAAATTTTATAAAATAACATGCTTTTATCCTTATGGCTTATTTAATTTTCTTCTCTTAACAATCAGATTTTTGGAAAAAAGAAGAAAATTGCATAATAACACTTTACAATAATTTAAGGCTTTAAGGTTATTTCATCGCTAATCAAAATTTATCTGTTATATTCCTCTCAAAAACTTGATGACGTCATCTCTAAATTTTGCTAAATAAATTCTAAAATGTGTAAAGTATTATGAGTCTAAACTTGTGGTTCATCAATGCATTCATGTTCCTGAAAATTCGAGAATACAGTACTGTAATTATTAGTATTACATTGTACCCATTCACTTGAAACACACGCACATCATACTTGTTTATCTGTAATGTAACCTGTAGACAGTCCACAATATCTTCACTCTAAGGTTACCATAAAAAAATAAAATTTGCAAAATTAATTATTATAATTTTTCTAAGAAAGTGGATTTGTTTGATCGTATTTCAGAGGTGAGGGAAGTTCAATCTGAATAACAGACGTTAGCTGTTTGTGCTTTTATGAATTTCTTTTAAAAGAACTAAGAAAAGAAAATCACACAGTTTCAAAAAAGTATTCACATCATATAGTCGCCATTGGATCAAGTGCAAAATTTTAATTAGTAGATATAAAGCTTCTAATCTATGATTTGTAAAATGTTTTCACGTGTAATAATAAATTTGCGGTGCTGCTTAAATTACGCACCTTTAATCTGACACAATATTGTTAGTTATTTTAGTTACTTTTCATCTGCAAGCTAAAACTGACAAGATTCGATATCTAATTTTTTAGGTGGTTCCTTTTGGTGATACAACTTGAAGATAATGTGTAGTTATTGACTTGTTGTAACTTTTGAGGAAGTTTGTATCATCAAATCTTTATACCATCTTGTACTTGTAATATACTGTTACGAAATAAACCCATGTACATTGCCACGATGATACAAAGACAAGTCTAGAAGCGATATTCTGGAACTTTCTCGCAGAACAGCGAGGTGATTTAAAAAGAAACCACCATCGGAAGCAAAGCAGTCCATTCAATGAGAGAATTCAAAGCCCAGTGAGACCCTGAGTACGATGAACACGTTATAAGACAGAAGAATTATTCGGTGTTAGTCGTGCACTTTGGGGTATTCAATAAATAAATCGTTGAGTTTTACCCACGCCGATTTAATTCCCGTGAAACGCAGCACTGATGTCAGAAGTGGGATTCAAGATTAATAATTGGTTCTGAAGACTGATGCCTGTCGAAACTCGAACTCAGAGTGCAGCCATAAACGAACAACGAACGCAGCTAATGGATATGCTTGAAAAGATAGAAGCCCTGATTACGGAAAGGAAGAAAAAGACGAACAAATGGATGAAAAATTAAAGGAAGAGTTTAAAAAAAACTCATACCGTCTGAAAGACACTGATAGGACATAATCAGGTTATTAATCATTTTATTAAAATAATTATCAGCGTATAGCATTTCTGGATATCAGTTAGTAAAGGTTAATAACTGCCTTTCTAATGCATAGTGCGTACCTTCAGGCGTTCCGCAAGTATCTATCCTCGGACCATTGCTATTTTCTATATTTATTACTGACGTGAGTAAACATTTTTCTTGTGACTTCACTCTTTTGCAGATTATCTGAAGATATTTCAATCATTAGAAGTTCTAGTGATTTAAAAGCACTTCCGCATGATTTAAATGTGGTCCTTAAATAAATGATAATCTGATGATGGTATATAGAAATGTACAGCCGCCAATTAATTGGTGTGGCCTATGTTAAAGATCTTGGAATATTTATAGATAGCGGATTGACGTTTGTAGCTCAATTATATAGTCCTACGCGCTTATGAAGTTCTAGGATGTGTCAAGAGATTATAGTGACTTCAAAAATATTCGCGCTTTGACTGTTTTGTTCATTCTACCTTTGGAAAATGGGTGCATAATTTGGTCGAATCGAAGCTGTGTAGGATAAATTTGTTACATTCTAAATTTCCTAGACTTGAGGATTCCCCACAATGTACGATTGCAATAAAAAACTTTAAAGATTTACATTGCTTTGGTCTACTGAAGACTCCACCAGAATTCATCAAAATTTGTTTTATATTTAAAGCGGTGAATATTATGAAGGTGACGTCTTAAATTCTGTTTATTTAAATGTTCTGCAGTATTTAGTCAGATCAGTTCCTTGGTGTTGTTAAGTATATATTTTTTAACTACTGATTATACACTTATAAAAATAATTTGTGTAGACATTGTTATATTTGGACTAAATATATTACAGATATATTTAACTATATATTTAGATGTGCTAAATTACTTTATGATCTACTGCACTCTTCCACGGTGAAAAAAATGACCACGGGAGAAATGAGCAGTGCGCCCAGCATTACAGAGTCGAAGATTGGTGCAATAATTTCTCCTCAGTTGCGTTAAAAATTAAATAAATCTTAATGCAAATGTTAGACACATTTAAAAACACTTTTGATGTTTGCGACGTGTTATTATTGACCTAGACCCGTAAACGCATGTTGAAACTGATAACCGCTAAGAAGGAAGCGCTCATGCTCTGATATACTCGTACTTTATATTATAGCTGGTCTGAACTTATACTTAACAGGAGTAATAGTAACAAAAAAAGTTTCAAAATTAATTAATTATTACCATACTAATATTAAAGTTCATCTGAATAATAAATTTTAATAGTAAACTGATCTATTATTTTTGCAAGCTCGATTTACTCTGCTATTATAAACTGAAAAAATTGTAGATTTTAATATCGTTCTGATACTTAATTAGAGGAAATATGTAAATAAGCTATACATTTCGAATAAATTCAGAAAATGTAATTCAGGATATAATAGATGATATACAACTATGTAAGTTAAATCTGTTAGGGTATTTGTAGCATGTACTTACTTTGCTCAATCATATATCAGTTAAAAAAGATCGGCCATTCTGATAAATTTAAGCTTCACGAATTCATGAAAAGAAGATATCACAGGTTTTCCATATTTTAGAGACAACTGTTTGCATTATGTATTTTATTATATCGTTATCTTATTTAATTTATTAGGCAAAAGAGATGGATTTATTTCGTCGTAAGTGCCTTTTCATTTGGTGTGCAAAAAATCTTTTTGTGCGAATAAATCCTACACCATAATTAATACATCAATTCAGTATTCAAAGTAACAAAAACGAGATGAATAATATATTTACATAATTATATTCAACGAAAATGTCACTGCGGGCAAGTGTTCAAATTCGAATACATATTACAACACCTCTGGCAAATCTACGAAATTTACCGATTTTTAAAAATTCAGAGATTGACTCACAAAAGTCGATAAGGCCGGGTAAATATTTGTAGTTTGCAATCTAGGTTTCGATAACCTTGATAATGCATATTGTAAACGGTTGTCGGATCTTACTGACTAAAGTTCAAAATAACGAATTATTCCCTTTGTATTTTGTAGCGTATTATTTATTTCCGGTAATTTGAGCATTTTGTGTGCTTACTAAATAATCAAAATAACCGGTCATTCTAACGTCATTTCGACAAAATTTTATCATTAGGTCCGCGTTATAAAAAGTCTGTTTTTCCCACTTTATTTACCGATTTATAATAATTAATAATAGCGGCAAGCATTATAAATACAAACATTCAACGATTTAATTAATATACTTACATAACAATATCACATTATTAGCAAAGCTTGTTTTTACATTGCTCAATACATACTTGAGTGTGAAGACAAAAATCAAGAAGGATGAAATCAAATCAAAACGTTTTTATTTTGCCACTTTTATCAAATGATAACGTTTTTATAATTATAACAGTTTGATTAACAAAATAATTAAATAACGTAATATTGACTTAAGATTATATACTAGGAATACTTATCAATGTTTGTCTTATAATGACTTTTTCCTTAATATCAAATACATTTATTAAAGCTGGTGCGTCCTTTAAAGAGTTAACAAATCAAAATTTTAAATTTTTAGGGAAGTATTGTTATTGGGTTAATTAATGTGTGGTTTAAGAATATACCTTGTCTTACGCATGGCAAAAAAAAAGTTTGTGATAGTTAGTGATAGAGAAAATAGGTAAAAATTGAATGATGTATCCTCTTTACACAGTTGATGACGTCATCTCAAAAATATTTATCCTTGAAACGGGATTTGTTTAAAATTTTGATGAGACACTAACATTACTTTAATTATTATTATAAACCATTGATTAAATTTTATCCGTTTTCATCAAATGATTTTATAAATGTTCATTTCAAAATAATTTTTGTGTAATAGTGTATGCGCTATACACATTAAAATTACAACTTTTTGATGATTTATGGACAAAGAACTGAATTTAGTATACACATACCTGACGAAAGATGCGGACTATTCGAAGACATTATGGATGACTGAGAGCCGAATCTCATCAGTTCATCTTCCTCTCGAAGCCCGCTGGAAGTTCTAGATTCATTTTGGACAGGACTAATTGGTGAACGTCCGGATGAAGCGGCTCTCCCGGTTGGTAAGCTTTCTCGTCGGTAAATTGTTCGTGGCAGTGATGGCTCCATATTAACCGGAACAGAGTGCCGCCTTACTCCTAACGTACTTTCTAATGAGGGAACAGCTAATGATTGTCTTCTAATTTCTCTGTAACGCATCAAATGAAAAACTGATCAAGTTTACTAGTCAAAAATCTGGCACCTTTGTGGTGGAGGCGGAATGAAATCCATAATACTTGGAGTTTCGGACGATTGCTTGGTCGCTTCTTCGTCGTCACTAACTTCTGGTTCAGCATCTGACAGTTCTGTTTGCGTCTCCTCTGCTTGTTCTGCGTTTTCTTGTTTCTCCCATCGTTTCCTATTGGCTTCTAGGATGTCCATCATTCGAGTAGAAAGCGTACTTTTGAGAAACCTATGCCATTCAGAGAACAATGGGGTAACAACAAATTTGAAGAAACCTGTAAAAGATAATAACACAAAAGCTGGTATCTAAAGATCGTGACGAGATGTATCGTACCAACTTGTATTTTGGCAACTGAAGTAGATTGTTGATCGCAAATGGAAGTAACTGGAAGATTTAGTTTTCTTTCAAATTCACCTTGCCTAAAAAATTCATCGCAGACCTTTAAACTCCATTTGTGAGAAATGTCCCAGGGTCTCGTCGGATTTGAAATGTCTGCACATTTCAAAGCAATTTGCAGAATGAAATGTCGGTCTGCGGCTTTAGTCAAATCTAAACTACCTTCATCTAAATATGCCTAAAAATCTACTATTTCAAAGCAAAATTTACGCAACGAAACTCTACTTTACCTTAAATTTGGTTAAAAATTCTTGTTGTCTATTAATATCAGTTGCTAATATGAGATCACGAATTTGCAATTCAAGTTTATTGCGATGTGGCAACAATTGTTCTGCCACCCCGCTTTCAAGTAAACAGCCAATAGCAGATCTCCAGTGATGATTTTCTAATACAGACGTGTTCTGTAATGTTTAGAACGTAAACACACATCTTTAAGACACATTTTATTGTACAACGTACTTGGTACAGAATGGCAAGATGATTCGACGTAGAAATAAGAAAATGTTGATTAACACCTGGATGGTCCAAGTCATGAGCAACTGCACCTATTAAAGCTGCCATTATTTCGAGTTGTGAGAGATGCTTTCGTATCTGTCGAATGAAATTTTCTTTTGAAATAAATACAGTGAAATAAAATACAAAAACCTACTTTTTCTTCTTGTAGAAAACAATGCATTGCTTGAGTTACATCAGTCGCATGAATAGAATTGTGGTATGGATTCGTACTGTGGTAACCTTCTTCTATGAGAGCTGTACGTTATAAATCTTTTAAGAAAAGGAATCTAACACCAACATTTATTAGTACTTACTAAAAAGCTTCCATACACGCACTACATCTAATTGGAAGTAATCCAACAGTCCGTACCAATGGAATAGATGGACACAGAGAACAGGCAGTGCTCGGCCACCGGCTACGGTTTCTAACGTAAACGCATTGAAGCCCCACAGGCCACAACGGTCCAAAATTCGCTGAAATTTAAACAATACGTATCCAATTCAATATCAGTAGTTAAGTTTGGTACTATTCGACGACATAAATCATTAATTAATTAGACAATTATTTATCTGAGACTTGAATTTCAGTAATCTTTAAATGCAATTAATTGTGAACCACACATCGGCATTATCTGAAAATTATAACGTATGATTAACAGAAAATGTCATCAAGTTGACGTAGGAGGAGCACTTTTCATACTTCAAAAATTGGTCACACTCTATTCCTACACTATTGAATGAACACAAAATACGTTACATAAAACAAACACAACACACAATGACGAAAAAAGTCATTAGTAAAACAACAAATCAATTCTCCTAATTAATTTTATTGTAATGTAGATGCCTAAAAAAACTTGCTCTCAGCTCGTTCGTTAACGCCTTGACAGATTTCAAATGATAACTAACACCTCGTTCTTGTAGCCTATAGCACAATTTCGCACGCTAGTTACACACTACTTTAGTTTTATATGTATTATGCAAAGGCCCATGAATACAAAATGGTTATAAACTGGTAACTGATAGCAAGAAAGTTAACTGTTTCCAGGTTTATCTCCGGAAAAATAAAAACTGTAGGATTCTTACTGAATAAAGCAAAAATATAACGACAAAAAAAAGAATGAATGTGACAATTTTTGACAAAAACTTTCTTCTCCACAATTCCGCGCTTTTGAAGTGTCATTCAACCCGGATGACACCCACTGGGCACATGTCGAGATCTTTGTAGACCTACATGACTGCCTACATTTTATTACGTATAGCTAATGGTCTTCGAAAATTATACATTCTCTTGTTTTACTACTGCGGTATTTGTAATTTGCTGCTTAGTATATTTCCTTAATATCGTTATGTTTTTGAAATAAGTTATAATTTCTTCTATTGTTTATTTGATTTTCAAAACATTTTATTGTATCTATTTTATATATTTCAAGGACAGATTTATTTTACGCTTAGCCAAAATGCAAGAGAAACACAATGAAATACACATTTGTTTTGTTTGTTCATTTTTGGAGTGTAAAACTTTTGTTTAGAAGATCTTCAGATTCTTAACTGCGAAATTATCTTTTTTATGTGTACTGCACATCACGCTATTTTTTAAAATCCATCACTAAATTTCTTCTGGTCTTACATTCATCAAACATATTTGCACCAAGTTGACAGTGTTTATAAAAATTTCATTTATACTTTTTTTAATGCTACTTTCTTTTAAGTCTTCTGTATTAATGTTCATCGGTACAGGGTTTCTACGTAGAACATTTATACGTTTGATCTTTTTCACCGCTTCGTTCTCCGTTAGTTGCTTTTTCAATGTTCTAAAATGTCATTCATTCCTTGTGAAATTCAATATCGAGTCATTTTCTTCCTTTGTATTTTTCATTTTACCAGTTTTCTCTTTCAAAAGTTCATTCATTTTTATCTATTTTTAGTCTTTTCTGTTCCTTTTCTTCGACAAATCTCTAAGGTGATCGCAATTTGCACTGCAATGGGTACACATTATTTAAATCTGTTATAGCAAGACTTTCTAATGCCGACGACGTAAATTAGAAACAAATGTACAAGTATAGGAAATGTAGATTGTAGATTTTAGCACATTTTCCTTCACTGAACACCGAATGCTGGAGGAACTCATACGTTAACTTCATATCTCTAGAAGCTTCATGGAGAGAGAACTAGTTAATTTAATTTATGGAGAATTAATAAGAATTAGACAGTCGTGTGGACAGCAGGCGTAACTGGTATTTAATTTATTACGTTATATTTTTAGACCCACCACTGATCCGGAAATGATCGGCATCAGACTTCTATCATTACAGCTCTGTTAGGTTTATTAGATTTGTCAACTGATTTTTTATACCTGCATATACAGGGTCGCTAGAATGTATGGAAACGGTCAAATGAAATTAGGTATAGGGGCACAAGAAGTTGTGTTGCAATTTTTTGTCAAAAAAAAATAATTTTTTTTTTGCTTCATTTGTTTTCGAGTTGCAGATCCATATACCGGGTGTCTGAAAAATGGCGGATTAACTCTCTGATACGCTCTTAACAATCAACTGGTGAGCCTAGGAAAAATAATAAAAAAATTTCTTCTCACATTTTGGTGGAACACATTCATTATCACAACAACTAGTAATCAAACTTTTAGTTAATATTTCTCTCGCCCATGACCATGTTTAATTACCATTTCATTTAGAATGTACAAAGATATGGGTATGTTGTTTTTGTAATAATTTGATAAAATTTCATTTGACAACAATGTTTGCCTGATATAAAGCAAAGGTATAAATCAGCAAAAATCGAGTAAGCAGTTAAAAATGTTTGACGTATCAAAAATTGTCAAAGTTTTCAAAACCCCACGTTTAAAATGTTTTATTTTCGGATAAATTTAAAGGAATTTGGTGTTTTGTTGCTCGATGAAATTGACAAAATCTTTAGAGCTTTTAGTGTTTTATTTTTTATGAATTTGAAAAAGTCTTGAGTGTCGTAGTGTTTTTGTTTTTTTAATTCGGGAGACTCTTGAGTACCCATTAGGGTGATTCAAAAAAAAAAATAATTTTTTTTTTCGTGTCAAAGAGGTTCAAAAGTTTCTTTTCAACGTAAAAAAATACCAGTTAAAAGTTGAGCTCTTAATATTAATATTAAGACCGTCCGCATCGCGTTTTTCTATTTCCCATAAGAATAACATGGGAAAATTTTTGTTTGCACCTTCTGATTTTTATTGCTAGCCCGTCGTGTGTCGTGAAAAAAATTCAATCACATATTTTTATAGAGAATTGAACGCTCTACAAAAAGTGTCTCCTATGATTTTGCGAGAAACCTGACTATGATTTTTTAACCCACTGATGCTGAAAATGTTCGGAAAGAGTTTTACTGGCCTTATTATAGCATAAAATTATAAACAATTACTGTTTAAAAAACTAAATTTAAAATGTGTATAAATTTTTGTGGTGATTTATTCCAATAAGACCATCAAATTTATTGTAATGCATCAAAAACGTCAAAATTTGGATAAATTTAACTTTAGCCTAAAATAACTCTTCAACTATCAGGTTTCTCGCACAATCATAGGAGACACTTTTTGTAGAGCGTTCAATTCTCTATAAAAATATGTGATTGAATTTTTTTCACGACACACGACGGGCTAGCAATAAAAATCAGAAGGTGCAAACAAAAATTTTCCCATGTTATTCTTATGGGAAATAGAAAAACGCGATGCGGACGGTCTTAATATTAATATTAAGAGCTCAAATTTTAACTGGTATTTTTTTACGTTGAAAAGAAACTTTTGAACCTCTTTGCACAAAAAAAAAATTTTTTTTTTTTTTTAATCACCCTAGTACCCATAGTGTATTATTTTGGAGAACCATTGGAGATTTTTTTTGTAAATTATTTAAAACAATTTTGAGGGACTTTGGTGTTCTATTTTTGAAAAATTCTGACCAGACCTGTTTTTGAGTTAACTTTGGGACCCCGTTTTTTTTTGGACAATTTAAAACAATCTTGAGGTTGTAGGTATTCCTGCTTTGAAAGAATTTGAAAGTGCTTTGGAGCCTCTAGTGTCTTTTCTTATAATAGTTTAATTAAATTTCTTAGAGGATACGTCACTTGCCATTATCAGTCTTATCTTAGCAGGTACAAGCCCCGCCCACCCACCCTCTCTTTTCTTAGAGGGTATGCTATTGGCCAAAATCAGTTTTATCTTAGTAAGTACTGATGACTAACTTTTACAAAAAATGATCTTTTTTGACGGAATTTTGGATCAAAAATTGTTGTCATATGTCATCGTTTGCTCTACCCTTATTTATATATTATATAGGTACACTAGTCTTTGCCACTTCTATTGAAACACCACTTGTTAATCGTAAATTTGGCAACGTTCATATTCAGATAATTTTCTAACTAAAAGCCGTTGTCAATCAACCGAAAGCTGTTACCAATTGCTAAATTTTAAGAAAAATCAACAGATGGTGTTTCAATAGAAATGGCAAAGACAATACATCATAATTTTTTTTATTTTTTTTTTTTTTGGAATTCCCGATATAGCAAACGACAGTTTATTTTCTGTTTTTGTGTTAATTCTTGTATGTATTGAAACCATAGTTTGAAGCTGTTCAAGACGGCCGAAAGAGGATTTATTGCCATACAAAACCATAGCGGATTGAGTCGCTTTGAAAGATTGCTCTTCTGATCATTTTGGATTTGATTGAATTGTTTGATCATTTAAGGTTATTTGAAAGGTGCTTTTCCAAAATTCCATTGAACATCTGAGCATATATTTTAGGATCAACTCTCCCATAATTTTACATAGCCAGGAATGCGGGACAAATAATAATTAATCATACGGTTTCTTATCAATCAATAAAATCAGTATATATATTTCTGTTTTCTTTCCTAGCTTGTTTACAAATGATGAAGTCTATGATTAATTGCTGGCCTTTAATCACTTTACCACTTTTGTTCTTCGTTGATGATGTTGAATTTAAAGCAATGTTGCTAGATTTTTTGTGTTATGCATGAGATTATTATCTTGTAAATTATAGGTAAACACGTGGTAGGTATGTATTTTGATGGATTTGTTGTGTCATCATCTTTAAGTTTTAGATATGTTACACCATGACATAAAAATGTGGAAAATGTGGATGGGTTAAGAAGGAACTGGTTTAAGTGTTTTAGTAAAGGAATGTGCATACAATTGATTTTTTTATCAAACAATTCTGAATACATATATGTATTTTGTTTGGTCCTGATGATTTTCAGTTTTGTGTTTTATTGATGCCATTCATCAATTCGTCAAGTCTTATTTGATTATCGTTCATTGGTATAACTGTGGATAGTTAAATTCAAATTCTCGAGACCAAAGTTTTGACCAGAAAGTTGTTAAGTCCGTATTAGTTGAACTTAAATATTAATCGTTGTATTTTTCTGACAAACATTTTTTTTATTGTACAAGGATTTTGCTATAAATAAAGTATTGT